GAAACAGGAGGGTGTCGGTGCAACCGGACGGCACTCTAGTTATCCAGGAAGTCACTGTTTATGACAGGGGCCTGTACACGTGCGTGGCCAATAACCCGGCCGGCACGGACACGCTGGTGGTGAAACTGCAAGTGGTCGCGGCACCTCCGGTTATTCTGGAAGAAAGGAGACAGCACGTTGAAGGGATGATGGGGGAAAACCTGAGGCTCCCCTGCACTGCCCAAGGCAACCCTCAGCCCAGCGTTCACTGGGTGCTCTCCGACGGCACCGTGGTGAAGCCTCTGCAGCTGGTGAAGGGGAGGCTCTTCCTCTTCCCCAACGGGACCTTGCACGTGAGGAGCGTCGCCCCTGCCGACAGCGGGACCTACGAGTGCCTCGCCACGAGCTCCACCGGCTCCGAGCGCAGGGTGGTGCGGCTGGCGGTGCTGCGCGCAGGGACGCTCCCCAGGATAGCCAGCGCCTCCCAGGAAACCACCCGCCTCAACTTCGGGGACCCGCTGCTTCTGAACTGCACCGCTACCGGGGAGCCGGAGCCCACCATCACCTGGAGGCTGCCCTCCCGGGCCGTGGTCGACCAGCGGCACAGGTAGGATCTGCCTCCTCTCCTTCTTCCACCCCTTCGAAACATCCAGCACCGGCACCTGCCGAGCTCCTAGGAGAGACAAGTCCATGCACAAAACACTAACTCGTGCCCTAGATCATTACTAACCTTTGAACACTAGCGCAGCATCCGCACGATGGGTTATTGCTGCATTTCTAACGAGACCACACGAGTTCTGTCACTGGCGGGTGAGGTCTTACCAAAATGGGTATAATTTTTTTGAACTAATGAAGCTTGTTATGTATATATGGTGGTTGAATGTTGGTAATTTTGTCTTGTTGTGACTTAGGACAAATTTTTAATTCATGCTAGAACATAATATAGACCTTAATAAATATTGATGTTAATACAGAGGATTTAGTAGAGCACTTCTGAACAGTGCTGACTTCCCCACACTACCAACTCTAAAACAAATTAAGGATAATTCAGTTCAATTGATGACAGCAAATATAGCAGCATTCACACTTCGACCGTGAGTCTGGTGCACGATAATTACTCCTTATTAGTTAGTTGAGACAAAATAATCTAAACTAAGAAAACTGTAGATTGCGACCGTAGTGCTAGAGCTTTTATTTTGATAGAGACAGATGGTGCTAGGTACTCACAGTTGGCATAGCTCGCCTGAGAACATTTAAGTTTAGTTAGCAATGAACCACTGGGATTTATGGAAATTAAGGGTTTAATACTAGATAACAGCTTCTCCTTTGCGGAAAAGACTAAAAGACTGTATAGCAATGCAAGCTGCAGGCTGGAGACCACAAAAATAAGGAAAAGCCCTTTACAAGAGATTTGTAAAGCAGGATTCAGGGGGAGACTGCTCTAATGTCCCTGCCAGATCCACATCAAAAAGTAAACCTAGAGAGAAAGGACTTTTCCCTCAGCCTTCTCCTACCTTAATCTGCCAGTGAGTAGAACTCACCAGTCCAAAAGGCGTGAGTTTCAGAGAGGCCCTGAACGATCAGAATCTGATTCCTACAAGATTCTGTTCATTTTTGTAATATTACTGCTATAGTGGCTGATAAAAGTATCCCAAGTAGTATTGCTAACGAGCTCAGCACGGCTCCTACCCACAGACTCTTCTGGCTGAACTTTCTAGCAGGAAAAACAGCAGCATGTCATGATCCTTATTTTTGTTCTCAGCCTGCGTAGCCCTGCAGCTCGTGTCGAACATAGAGCACTGTAAATCATTTGGAGAGCTGACCGTTCAGCTTCAGCATTTTGCTCCCTGATAATCCTTTTCCTCTTTCTCTCTGCACAACAGAATGGGAAGTCGAATCCACGTTTTTCCCAACGGATCCCTGGTGATAGAGGCAGTTACAGAGAAGGATGCAGGTGACTATTTATGTGTCGCAAGAAACCACATCGGAGATGATCTGATACTGATGAAAGTCATCATCACCATGAAGCCCGCCAAGATTGACCAGAAACAATATTTCAAAAAATTGGTACCGTATGGAAAAGACTTCAAAGTGGACTGCAAGGCGTCTGGGTTGCCTGCGCCGGAGATATCCTGGAGCTTGCCGGATGGCACAACCATCAACAGCGTGATGCCGGCGGGGAGCGGCGGGCGCAGGGCGCGGAGGTACGTCCTCTTCGACAACGGAACTCTGTACCTCAACAAGGTTGGCTTGACGGAGGAAGGGGACTACACCTGCCACGCTCAGAACACCCTGGGAAGAGACGAGATGAGGATACACATCACAGTGGTGACAACTGCCCCTCGCATAAAGCACAGCTACAAGACCTACACGCAAGTGAACGCCGGAGACACGGCATTATTAGACTGTGAAGTTGTTGGAGAACCCAAGCCAAAAGTATTCTGGTTACTCCCTACCAGTGACATGATCTCCTTTTCAAGAGATCGGTACCTCCTGCACGCCAACGGCTCCCTGTCGGTCAGTCGAGTCAAACTGGTGGATGCTGGGGAGTACATGTGTGTCGCCCGCAACCCTGGAGGGGACGATACAAAACTCTACAAAGTGGATGTTGTTTCCAAACCGCCTACCATAAATGGTTTACACGCAAACAAAACCATCATGAAGGTGACAGCTGTGAGGCACGCAAAGAAGCAAATCGACTGTCGGGCGGAAGGGACACCGACCCCTCAGATTATGTGGGTCATGCCTGATAATATTTTCCTAACAGCTCCGTATTACGGGAGCAGGATTACAGTGCACAAAAATGGGACTCTTGAAATTCGGAACCTGCGGCCTTCCGACACGGCGGATTTCATGTGTGTGGCGCGCAACGACGGCGGGGAGAGCGTGCTGGTGGTGCAGCTGCAGGTGCTGGAAATGCTAAGGCGACCCACGTTTAAAAATCCTTTCAATGAGAAAGTAATAGCAAAACCCGGAAAAACTAACGTATTGAACTGTTCCGTGGATGGAAATCCTCCCCCCGAAATAAGCTGGATGCTGCCTAACGGCACGTGGTTTTCCGGGGGGATCCGGAGCGGCCGGTTTCTCACGGGCGGCAACGGCACCCTTACCATCCACAACACGGGCAGGGAGGACGCCGGGAAGTACCGCTGCGCGGCCAGGAACAAGGTCGGCTATATCGAAAAGCTCATCGTGCTGGAGCTTGGCCAGAAGCCCAATATCCTGGTCCACGCGACGGGGCCGGTGAAGGGCATCGGCGGGGGGGCGCTGACGCTTCTCC